GTATCTATCAACAACAATCTTTCAATTCTACATGTAACGTTTTGATAACACTTTATTTTAAGTAAAGTGCTACCAACATTTTCTATCTACAACAATCTTTTCCCACACCTAATATGTGTCCACAGAAACCTCCCCACTCAACATATCACATTTCAATCAGACATTTTTTAACACAGAATAATAACCACTGACTGAATCCCACTCTGGACTGCACTACCCACGTTCCACCTCTCCTGGGCTTCATCCCTGTGTGTGGAGAGCTAAAGCCTGCCCTGGAACCCTCGGCTGGCCTTCTTCCACCCCCTCGGCTCCTGCCTAACCCGCGCTTCTCCTTTCTTCACATTTTGTCTCTGTCGAAATGGAGCTCAAATGTTTTTCTTTTGAGGCTGGCTGCAAGGCAACCTGAAGGAGTCAGAGGGCTGGAGAGATTGCAGTCTTAATCCAGAAGTAATGTTTAGTGAAGTCAGCTCTTCTGTTGGGGGGGGGGGTTGATTGTGTATGTGTGTGTGCGTGCGTGTTTGTGCGCGTGTGTAGACAGCACTTTTCCTTGTGCATACACCATCTATCTATTTGTCTTATCCTCTCAGGGACCTGACGATGGAGCCACATTCATTTCCATTAGGATGAAAATATCATGTGGGCTTTGAGTAATTCGATTTGTGCAGTCTGAGAAGCCGAGCCCCAAGTTGAGAAAGGTCTTAACCTGAGACAACGCTTCTAATCAGTTTTCTGGCTGGTTCAGATAGAACAGAAAATACTTCACAGAAGCAGTCTCCATATTCCAGGACCAGCAGACCAAGGATAATTCCTGTTCCAGACAGTCTTGTCACACTCCACTGGCTCTATACCACAGTAACTACAGAGTAAAAACATAAACTGCATATAATTTATCTGTTAAAGCATGCTATGCATTTTTTGGGAAGAATACAGAATTCCTGGCATGTAGGCTACTATCTGTTCGGTACAAGGCAGCCTAAACCATTCTATTTTTGTGTATTATTAAAATGATGACACTTATTATTGAAAGTGTTGCGTGCAATCCTACTGTATATCATCTCATTGTTGGAGCCTATTCTATGTACAGCACAGGAGGTTGGTGGCGCCTTAATTGGGGAGGACGGGCTCATGGTAATGGCTGGAACGGAATAGGTGGAATGGTATCAAATACATCAAACACATGGTTTCCAGATTTTTGATGCCATTGCATCCACTCCGGACATTTTTATGAGCCGTCCTCCCCTCTGCAGCCTCCTGTGATGTACAGTAAGAGATGACATGAAACAGAACCCTTCTCTACATTCAAAATAACAGCCTAACGAATAACAGTAACTCTGAATAATACTTAAACTTAGGCTTTTAACGGCCTTTGTTTCATATTCTGTTGTATCTTAATAGATTTCAGTCTGCCATTTTGACAGAAGACTACACCATTAATTTTGTTTGGATATTAACTCCCGTTCATCTATGGATTCTCATTCCCCGCAAAAAGAAAGACTAGGATCACGGGGAATACGTTGCCAAGATAGGAAATATTTTATTACAGAGAAAAAAAAACTTTTCTTCCAAAATATAGAAATCTGTACAACTTTCGCACAATCAATTTACATGAACTGTACAAATTTACAGCAGTTCATCACAACATACCCAAGGAAAAGAAAATGAACACAATAAAGATGTACTGACATGAGAAATCACAAGGTAGAGTAGACAGCTTTTCTTCTTGGGTACGCTCAGATTTTTTAAAAGTTTTTCTTGTTTTGTAAGTTTAAAAAAAACAAAGGATATGTCTATCAGTACAGGGCATGGAAACTGATATTTATTTTACCAAAACAACTTGGTCCTTGCCAACACTCCAATCACAAATGGCTTCACTTATGAAAATAGTTATCCGTGTTAAAACTAAGAAATGCAAAAGGAATACATCTAAACACCTCAAAACAAATTATCGGCACTTCCCATTGTGTAATGTTATGCATGTATTCTACCATATGTCGTACAATTGCAATAGATTCTATAATATGTAAAACACCCTAAATGTGAAAGTGGCAATAATTCAAAAATCATTGAGGACAGCTTGACAAAACACAAAATAACTATTCCCTTCCCGTTTCACGTCTTAACATGCACAACTTTTCCATAAGGGTTTTTTATTGAATGTCAGAGGCCTGAGTTTGGCAATACATTCCAGGAGAGACTACTCGCGTCTCAAAAATGTCACAACTTCACTTGACATATTTAGTGCATTTTATGTGCTATTACCTCCGACTATTCAAAAACACTTTTCACAACGTTTCTGAAACCTATGTGCGCAAAGGCTGAATGGATGCTTTTACAGATCCAGTATTGTGGACTAAATCCATATTTTTTGGTGGTGGTGTTACTGTTGAGAAGGGGATCAAACAATTTCGGCTTTGTTTCCTTTTTTGTAGGTCTAAAAATGAAGTCTGTTAAAATTGGTGGGGGGGACAACTTGCTACGTCAGAAACACAGACCAATCTCATAACAACATTGATAGCTGGCATAATCGAAGCAATAGAGGAGCTGCAAGGTTTTTTAAAAGTTGGTTTTCAACCACAACAACAAAGCTCTGAGCTACTCTCTCAGACCTGTCCATCTGGCTCATTTGGAGACACTGCTTTTTCCACAGATTGCTGAATGACACCAGGAGAGATGGAGAGGGGGAGGACAGTGAGGAGGAGGGGAGTGGATGAGGATGAGGGAGGATAGGGTGTGCAGTGCGTCAACAACCACGGATCCATTACCCATGATCCTCTGTACTTAGAGAGCTTAAAGCAGCACATGCAGGTCTGATGGGCTGGTACCCAGCCTGGCCACCTTAGTGGCTAAAAGCCCCGAAACCCCACAGCCTGTCAAATCGTATGTCTGTCTGCGGCGCGACCAACCAGGAGTGAGCTATAGGACGACTGACAGCACCATCGTCCTATTGCACGCATGTAAACTGTGTACCGTCACTTCCTAACCTTTGACTTCTCCCTGCTGCCTGTCTCTATATGGCCTCCCCAGTGCAGACGGAGTGCGCTGAGTGCATGTGCTGGCTTTGCTCTCCACCGCCAAGAGGGGGTTGGTTGGGTGGAGGTTAGTTTGGAGGGGGGCCGGAGGGATTGTAGCTGCCCTGGACGAGAGTGTCCGGCCCTGGCCCCCATCCCACCTCCCTTCCCTCCCCTGGGGCGAGGAAAGATGATATGTGTCACTGCTATCTCCGTACTGCTATTGGGGGGAGGGGGTTGGCTGGTTGGTTGGCTGGCTGGGGGGTGTCTAGGCTCGGGGTGATGGCACCAGAGGGGCTTCTTGTGTCTGCCTTCCCTGACACCTCCAGAGAGGGTCCAGCAGCACCTCGAACCAGGCTGGCTCACGTTACATTGGCTCACGTTACATTGGTTCTCTCTCTCGGTTCTCCAGAGAATGGCTCATAGGTGTAACATTGAGGTCCTACGTTGGACAATGCACCCCTCATCCAAACTCAGAGACAGAAGAAAGGAGAGGTGTTGAAAGCCTTGGACCCATCTTCACTCACAAAGACAAGAACAATGTCTAACAAAAACAGATGCGAAAGCCTGACAAGGCCATTGAGTTTGAGTTGGATAGAAACAGTCAGGGGCCTCCAGACTTCCCTTTGGCTACACTCACACACCCCTCGACTGCTGCAGAGAGTTCTACAAACGGACAACAAACGCCTGACCTGACACGACACCAAACCGCACCTACCTATCAACACCTGAACGGGTCTGAATGAAAAGCTTACAGTGTGAAATCTTTTTAAAACCTTCAGTTACTCACCCCTATTCTATAGAGAGGGGTCTAGCCTGACATAAGAGCTGTGAGCAATTCACAGAAAAGGAGAAAAGGAGGGGAACTCATGACAGACGACATTCGAGTGAATGGAATGAAGAGGGTTTTCCTCTAAAAGTACACATCCCACACAATCTAAATGTCAAAGTGCATTCAATGTCATTTCTTCTGACAGGGCCACAACAACCAAAACAAATTATCCAGATCTCGGTGAAATTATAGTGCTACACTTTGAATTTGGTGAGGGCAAAAGGTCAGGGTGGGGATGGAGGAATATAAACAAAATGAGAACTTGATTGTGAATTTCAAACCAACATTCCTCGAAGGGGAGGGGACAAATCCCCAGCCCTTCCCGAAAAGCTACACATACATGGTTGGGGGTGTTGGTGGGGTGCGCTGTGACACGCTACTGTCCTTAGCAACAGGTGTCACAGCGCATTCCACCAAACTTCCATATGGAGGGGGAGGGGCTTCCTGAAGCTCGACGCTGGTATATGGAGTGCTGAGGTTCAGCCCTATATTGGGGCAGCCTCTGGGGGTAAAGAAAATGCCCTATGGTCCAAAAACGTTTAGAAGTTAGAAGAAAATTACTTTAGGCGTTTCCCCAGAGAACGACTGACCTAAGAACAGGCACAGTCTAGAACTCTGCCCCTTTACTTCCTTCCTAGACAGGAAGTACATCCAATAACAACAGGAAGTAGATAAAAGGCTGAATTTCAACGGTATGGTTCTTGACAGCAGTTCCTTGACACTTTTGAGAGGGTGGTGGGGATGGTGGTGACATGGTACCCATAGTAACCACGTGGAGAAGAAAGTGCAAAGTCAACATTGATAGACCTGTGTAAAAAAACTAAAACAAAAAGCAGCCCCTTCACCGCGCTGTTTCTCTGTCCGGGTTTCTTGGTTGGTTTTAGCTGCCCCCAACAGCTCCACGCTCCACACAGCCCTCTCCGCGAAAAAAAAAACAAAGCCTCCGGTAGATCCCACAACACAACATAACAGACTATGGAGTGAGGAAGGAGGAAAGAAATATCAAACCTACAAGGTTTCACCTGGACGATAGGCCACATCCTCTGCTTTTTCTCCATCTTTTTTTTCTGTTTTTCATTTTATTTATCTTTAGCTTTAAAAAGGTTTGCCATCGACCAACTAGGGCGAAACCCACAACCCGACGTGGCGGGTGGCAGCCCTTAGCTGGACACAGTCATCATGTTGTAGGCTTTGGAAGGGCTGGTCCTGCCCAGCATCCCCGCCGCCTCCTTGCAGCTGATGTGACTGTCCACCATGGGGGCCGAGGTGACCACGCCGACTCCCGACGGCGCCAGGGTCCCCGGCTGGGACTCGTAGAGCACGCAGATGGAGCCGTCCTCACCGATGCGGTAGGACACCTCGAAGGGGTCCACCCAGAGGGTGAGCTCACTGGGCAGCAGCAGGTAGAGCTGATTGATGGTCAGGCCGATGCGCTGGCCCGCCTGCCCCACCAGGGGGTCCATCTTGTGGTTGATGCGGATGCAGCGGTAGCCCGAGCCCTTGCATGGCCTGTCGGGGAACCAGTGGTGCTTGTATTGCTCTGTGGAGAAAGAGAGAGGTTATTATCGGCTTACCATGAGTTTCATCATCATTGGATCACTATTAGGTTACCATGGTATTGTTTGTATTGCCAAAAAAGGGCACAGAGGGGTTGACTGTTGTTCTACGGTTACCCTATAGTGGAGCTTGTGCAGTACTGTATGAGGAGACAAGAGAGAGATGGAGAGAAAGAAAGAGGGAGAGAAGTAAGAGACGTTGTCTGGTGAGAGCCAGTAAGCTAAATCTCTGCTACTTTCAGAAGTCTTATCTGAGAGAGAAGCGGGGGTCCACAGCTGTCTGCACCTGATCGGCCTTAGTTCCTAGTGTGTGTGTGGGTGTGTGTGTTATGCGAGATAAGGATGCATGTGTTTTGATAAACATTGAATAAGGTCATAAATTGGGGTATATACAAGCAATAACTGGAAAAATAACTGGATGACGCATAGTTGGAGTTTAAGTAATTGTATCTCAAATCAAACTATAATCAAGTTTTATTTTATTTTAGAGTTGCAGGGGTCAAAGGTAATAATTGTTTATGATGTTCTAAGCACACATAACTAATCTATCAATGTTATTACTTTAGATGTATCTTTTGATTGTGGTATGGATTACTTAGAGATAATAAATTACATGATTCCATTGAAAATTGCAGTAATAATGAAAATGTTTTACAGTACTAAACACCCTGCAATAATGATTATGTTTTACTGTGCTAAACACCCTGCAATAATTATTATGGAAAAGTATTGTTGCTTTAGATTCTCTTTTGATTTAATAAAGGTTTTATTCCTTTGTAGGTAATAGATGATTCCATTGGAATATTTTATCTGCTATTCCTATTACCATGTAATAAAGCATAAACTATTTATATTGGTATTTGGGTTACATGATATAATGACCAACTACTTAGCACACTCCTGTAAGTTTCCACTTACTAATGTGTGTGTGTGTGTGTGCGGTATGTGTGTGTAAAACAGACTGCAGACAGGGGCAGGCTTTGTTGTAGCGCAGTAAAAAACCATAAGTGTCTGCTTATGGGGCTGATAAGCAGCCGTTTGATTGCACAATCCCCTCCTGGCCGAGCGGCACAAAGTCCTCCATCGAACAGAGCTGAACAACAACACTGAGATGGTGAAGTCCTGCCCAGCAATCTGGGCTGGAGAACACCTCCTATTAAACCCACACCGTCCCATTTAATATGGCCAGACCTTGTGTGTATGTGGCGAGTGTGTCCACATACCCGTTGGTGATTCAGTGTGGTATCATTCGTATGGTATGTTTAAAGGGGCGTTAAGTGACAGGGAAGAGAGAGACAGGGAAGAGGTCACGTTACTCATTTTAAGGAGAACACAAGAAAGACAAGAGTTCTCAATCCTTCCCCATTAACTCATTTTAGAAGATGCGCATGACTGCTGCTTTCATAGTATAACAGTAGCCTAACAGGGAAAAATAAGTCTAAATTAACCTAACATCTCTAACAATACTCACATTTACTGTGTCTAGTGTGTGTTTGTATATATACAGTATATGTACTGTGTGTGTGTGTGTGTGTTGGATATGCATCTGTGTGTGCGTGTGATACCAATCGCCCTATTTTCTCCACTTAAGACTCCTCAGTATCGAGTTACCCCATTGGTGCATAGCGGCTAAACTGAATGTGCTGCCTGCCTGTCTGCTGTGAAAAGCCTCTGGACTAGGCAAGAGCCCGGAGAACACCCTTCCTGCACAACACCTCTGGTAGATAATGTCTCCTTTGTGTTATCAGCAGAACGCTGTGTATTGCAGCCTAATGGAGGGCTTGGCACTTGTGAAAAAGCACAAGGCAGTTATGAATAGGATGATCTTTTGCACCACAAAAGACACGTTGGTCAATTAAGTGCCCCCAGGGCTGCTGAGAACAGTCAGAGCGGAGGGGCCTATTCTAAAACCAGGGAACTGGGGAGGGAGAGAGGCTAGAAAAGTAAACAGATGAGTTTCAACTATATATCTTCAGATTTGTATTTATTTAAATAAAGTAGTTTTCCAGTGCTTCTTTAAACCCACGTGCCCTAAGGACATTATTAGGCAATAAAATGTGTGGAGGCTTTTTATTAAATATTAATAATAATAAATAATATGCCATTTAGCAGACGCTTTTATCCAAAGCGACTTACAGTCATGCCTGCATACATTTTTGTGTATGGGTGGTCCCGGGGATCGAACCCACTACCTTGGCGTTACAAGCGCCGTGCTCTACCAGCTGAGCTACAGAGGACCACAGTTGGCTTAAATACACAGTTGGCTTTGTTTGGTGTGTTATTGGGTGATTTCCATTGGTTTGTGGTGGTGTGGTTGGCAGAATGATGGCAGTTTCTGATTGTGTCAAAGCTCAATCCTTGGTTAAGCAGGTTACTGGTAAACAGGAAGTCAAAATGGGTAACTAACTACCGTTAGGCAATGATCACAGTTTCAATCATGATATTTAGAGCAAGTCCCCCTTCTCCCCCATATACACACACAAAGCCTGTTTATTGAACACACAGACACAATAGGCTGTGATAATGAAGAGGACAACAGTGAGATGGTTGGCCTACTTCAGCAGCGGCCCGGGGGGGAGGGAGGCGGCGGTAAACTTGCAGTGTTGTTTATGCTCACTCTGAAGACGAATGAAAAATGGGGGTGAAGGAGGAGGGCGGCCACTTCACAAAGCCCCTCTGCAACTTTTTTGATTAGATTATGTCCTTCCTACTCTCCTCCCCCTATGATATCCTCTTCCAGCCCGAACCCCACTGCTACCACTTCCCCTCTGACAGCGGCCATTTTGCTCAGTCTGCCTTCAACTTTGGCTGTTTACAAACAGTGTACTGACCTAGAGCTATGCTCAGACTACAGCTTCCACCCCTTTTCTATGCAAAACCTGCACAAACAAAGCCACTGCCTCGGAAAATGGTGTTAGTTGAAAATAGCATTGTAAACTAAGAGTTTGTGTTGAATAGAAAGAAAACATTTTCTAACCTGATACGCTAAATGTGTAGCCTACATGTGAAACGCTCTAAAATTATATGAATTTGAACGTGAATGGTTTTGCAGATGATACAGCTGTTGCAAAACATGTTAAAATTGAGGTCATGAGGTAGGTGTTCAGTGCTTAGAAGGACAGACACTTGGTGTTATGTGGCAGATGTATGCCAGTTTTAGACTGTTAAAACCTCTGTCTGTATATTTACAACAGGAAATATAAATAATAATTTATTTCAGTGGTTTGTACAAAAACAAATGCAGTCAATGACGCATAGTTTTAGTGGCTGTGTCGATCTATTTATGTGTCCTTTTTACAGAGGTATTAATTTAGCTAGAATGTCTACATTGGAACAGATTGTATAAAAAAATAAAATAATAATAAAGCTTTTCTTTATTCATACATGTTCGTTAACGGAGGGAATCTATACGGCTATTTATTCTGCATTTTCTTATTTACCTTTTCGTTCTCTAATTTCGATTCGATTGAGGCTCGCTCAAGAGGATCGAGTAAACAATGTAGGCTATAATACGCTTATAAGAAAGATAATCATAATCCTATGAGTGTTATTTTCCTGATTGAAATGTTATAATATTTTTGTTTTTGCCTGAACAAATTAATATCCTCCTACGTTTTCTTGTCTGCATTACGTAATTCCATAGCCTACATCAATTCACTGGGGACTGAATACCCCATTCTTTATGGTAAGAGTTTATCGACCAACTGAACTGCTGCTACCGAAAGGTGCACTTCCTTGTTGGAACAAATAAAGTCAGGCCAAGTTATTACATTTTAACTCAGCCTTTATTCCGCGTTATTGCATTGTAACTAAGCTCGAAACATGAGTAAAGCGACGAGGTATCAGAATAGAAAATGGTTGATTCGATCGACGCTTGTGTTGAAGATTATTGTTCACTATCTATTTGTGTCTCTTTTTTCCGTGAGCAAATGATCGGGGGGCGCTTTGGTGCGCTTGTGTTAGTTTGTGAACAAAGAGAGACCCAAATCCCCTTCCGTAAGGGATTAAAACACAACAATTCGTTACAATTATATTATTAAACACACACAAAGACACAACATCAACAGAGGTCATGAACTAAAGTAGCCTAGGAAACGTAGGAGAAAACGAGAAACACATGTCTTACCTGACAAGATATCCTGTAAACTTGCGCTGAATGACTGAAGCTGTCGGTCATTTACGTGTCCTTTTATCCGCAGAAATCTCGACAGAAATCCGACCGCGGCGCTAATCTCTGGTTTCATCGTTCCTCGAGCACAAAGAGTATGCATTGAGAAGGCAACTGCGACGACGATCCGTGCGCTTTTCCTACATATGATTCCGAAAATGATTCGTTGTTTTTCTCTCCTCGTTCGGATAATGATCCGTGTCTTTCACTTGTTTTATTTCTCTGGTGCCTATGCTGCTCATTTATTAGTCGAGGTAGGGTCGTTTCGGAGAGTACTAAGTGTGCCAGGACGGTACAGTGTGGTGACGGCTGTTGGTAAATAGAGGGGTCTCTCTCTAGGATGCCACGTTGAGGCACCCTTTTAATGTCACTTTCCTCCACCAGAGTGAACGAGTGTTGTGGTGGAAAGGGGTTTTATACCGCCCCCGCCTTCCCACGAAGGCGACAGCGCGCAGCTACAGCAACCAAAAAGGCTGGCGAATCCCGTCCGCGTGATAGCCTGACGAGCCCATAGGAGGAGTGGACTGTTTGCGTCACCGCTATGAAAATAAACAGACCAAGTGAGAGCGAAATAGAAGCATGAAAATTAACCACTTGTATTGTGCTCCCATCGAAAACAACAACATCTTGCACTGGGTTTTCTGTTATTTCATAAAACGGACAGAATAATCATGGTTAGGTTCAATGCGCATTAGTAATTACGCACACAATTTTGGACACACGATTATGCTCATGATTGTTGGTATTCAAGGCATGCTATACATTTTGTTGTTATAGTTGCTCTTGCAGGCCATTGCTTGAATCTAGTCTCTGTAGTATCAGACAGTATACATCTAGGGGTTTACCATGATCACTTCAGTAATTCCCTAATACACACAAAGAAATGATTGCAGAGTCAGACACAAAATAACGTATTTCCAACAAGTTGATCCTCCTCCCTCCCGTTGTTGTTCTGCTTTCACTAAACTAAACTAAGGCTTTGGGTTTCTTTGCAAGTGTGTGGTCAGTCAATGGGGCTTCCCTCATGCCGGATTCATCAGCAATACACACTTTTCTGAGTTTGACATACACTAACGTTTGTGTATGACTTTGTGTATTCTACATTTTCACTGCCCATAAATTAGGTACATAAATTACATAAACATTGATTTACAATTATTACTGGGAGTAGGCCAATACCCTTCAGGGAAATTATTTTTGATAAAAAGAAAGATGGAATTCTTTACAAACATTATTCACTAAATGGCCTATGGTGCCACAATCCATTTCAGAGAATGACATCATTCACCCTAATGGCCTGCAGCGCCACAATTCATTTCAGAGAATGGCATAATTCACCCAATGGCCAGTCTTTATTAATTTCAGAGGAGGAAATGAGTGAGTCCAAATTGCTACTCACACCACGTGGGGAAAAATACAGATATGGAGACTGAGAGTGAGGGACAGAGGTGTTAAGCGAAAGAAGGCTGGAACAAGGTGAGAGACAATGTTAATGAATACCCAGAGCCAGGGGCGGCCTGTTCAATAGGGCGATATGGGCGACGCACTGCCAAACGGGAAAAGGAAGGGATTTTTTTTCTAATCAATTATATCACGGCAACAGTAGTTATCAGTGTTGTAATCTATACGTCTGATCTGCCACAGTGCCACACTGCCACTAAATGTCGAATCAGGCTAAAGTCGTGCTTCAAATGGCTCCCCCCCCTTTTGGGGCGATTTCAGTCAGGTTGAAAATCGCCCAGAAGTCTCTCATAGCCTCTAATGTAAAATCTATTTTTTTCAAATTTCAGAGCCTTCAATACAATCTCTATGGGTGTCTGAGGGCTTGCACTTACGCGCTTTCGTCATACGTAACGTAACGTAACCATGAACGTAACTGAGAAAAGAGCGGATTGTGTCTTTGAAAGAAGTTCCTTTTTGTCGGCGAACAAATGAAGATAAATTGGCAACGAAACAATTAGGACCTCCCAGACCAAATTTAATAATTCAACAGGTTTCTACTAAAGGCGGAAAGTCCTACACCCGAGGATTTTCCAAAAATTAGTACGAACGGAAAAATAACATTGCCACTCAACTTGATGAGGGATACAGGCTAGCTGTCCGCCGCCACAACGATGAGGTTAGTGTTGATAATCACAAGTTTACTGGAGAACTGAGACCAAGTAGAGACTTTGGACAGGGTGGATATGGTATAATAAAGGCAGTTTATTCAGAGGTAAAGATATCTGGAATCGCGTGCACGGACCCGTTCGTCAAACTCTTAGGGAGCTATAAATTAAGCCCCATTACTTACCATATCAGATAAGAGAAATTGCTGCAGCTACATATATTTTACATCCTGGCCCTACATAGTTCACTATTTGCATCACTTACCAAAATATTACATGTGGTCATATATGCTTGGAAAGTGGAGATGCCATAGAACGTCAAAAAAGTAAACATTGCTGGAGACACATTGCCGTTTTGGAGAAGACATCGCGTTTGCTAGCGAAGAGATTTGTTGTGGCAAATGAACTTGGGCTGGGAATTGCCAGGAACCTCACGATAAGATATATGCATCAGCATTGCGAGTCTCATGATTCTATACGTATTGCGATTCGATACTGTGATTTTATTGCGCACCATATGTCTGTTGCAGAGGGATCAGAAAGCCATGAGAACGAGTTTTGATCAGTCATGGAAATAAAAGTGCTGAAAACAAATTGGCTCCCAATGTGAAAAGATTGAGAACAAGCTATGAAGGAACAATAATGGTGTTTTGGTGCAGGTACAGCCAACTAGCGCTAAAATATTGCGATATTGTCAATACAGTATATCGTAAAGTATCACTATGTAACTCGATTTCTTTCACCCCAATCCCTCAAATTAACGGTAAATAACTGAATTGTTTGCCCCACATTTAGCTAAGATGATTAGCTAGCCAGCTAAAATGTTTTATTTAGTTAGCAGTCGCATCTACAATAGTTTACTGTCAATAACATGTCTCCAAAAATGACGTGGTGTCTCCAATTGTGTTGACATTTTACAATTGCGATGCGCATCCATGAGTATCCACTTTTTGTAGCTCAGCTGGTAGAGCATGGCGCTTGTAACGCCAAGGTAGTGGGTTCGATCCCCGGGACCACCCATACACAAAAATGTATGCACGCATGACTGTAAGTCGCTTTGGATAAAAGCGTCTGCTAAATGGCATATTATTATTATTATTATTATTATCTGAAGAGAGCCCCGAAACATTGTGTGCAGACATTTTATGCAATAAATGAAGTAGGTTGAATCTAGTAGTTCTGATCTTCTGATTGGTCCTGATGAGTTGGGCGAGGTCCCCTCCAGGCTACTGTCACTGTTGCATTGGCTCTGAGTCGGGTTCTCTGTCTTCAAATGTTCAGCCTAAGAGAGGGGATTTTTGTGTGTGTGTGTGTGTGTGTGTGTGTTTAACAGTGATGATGTGTGTGTGTGTGTGTGTGTGTGTGTGTGTGTGTGTTTAACAGTGATGATGTGTGTGTGTGTGTGTTTGTGTGTGTGTGTGTGTGTGTCCTCAGAGCAAGAACTCGTGAGTTGGAAGAACTGAGAGGCCTATGGCGTGGGTGTTGTCCTTGGCCACCTGCTGACAAGGCTGACAAGATAGGACCCTTTTGTCCATTGTTATTGGATAGGAACAGAACTTATAACCAGCTCCTGACCTAAATAGATCTTAGCACAACATTTTACTCAACATATCATATTCCATATTCACTATAACAAATATATTTACTACGACATTAGCAAGAACCGCCACATCCTCAGCCGGCTAATCCAGTGTGTGAAGTTTTGCGGAGTGTTTGAGTTAGCTTTGCGAGGCAAAGATGAAACTGAGGGCTCCACCAACCCTGGTAAGCCAACACTTTTGAGATCAGTCAATAAATGCTTCTGGTATTGACTTATATGCTGCCCCTGTCTTCATGTTGTTGCTGGACATATCTTTTTTAAAATGTGTGTAGGTCACCTAAATCATCAGAAAAATTGCCCCCCCTGAGAATTTTTTCAGGAGCCGCCACTGCCCAGAGCTGATGAATTCCCCTGACTTTCCCTCCGAGATAAAGAAAGTAAAAGAGAGACAATGAAGATTGGAAGATGGGAGTCACGGAGTGAGAGAAAATGTGAAAATGTCAGGTGGTATACGGTCATGTTTATACAATCCTTAGGTGCAGCCAGTAGTGATGGGGGGGGGGGGGGGCTAGAGAGAGGGGGGGGGGGGGGGGGGGGGGGGTTATATATCACAATATTGTTTTGGGACGATATTATATTGATATTTGAGCCAACGTGTTTTCAGCACTTTTATTTCCATGACTGATCTCTCTGCAGCAGACATATAGTGAGAAATATGTTTGGAACATCAAATCACAATAAAATCGCAGGATCAAATCACAATACATATAGAATTGTGAGAATCGCATAACATATCGTATTGGCACCTTAGTATCGTGATAATATTGTATTGTGAGGTCCCTGGCAATTCCCAGCCCTAGTAGCCAGCCACCGGCGGAGGCTTGAATGTGTTGCCAGATGTTGCCAGACCAGGGTGGGGTATCCTGCCCTAATACAGTCAAACCTAATGAATGGGGCTTTTTATCTTGAACCACACATGAAGCAGAGTGGAGGGAAAGAATGTCAGCTCAGGATCAAGCAGAGAGAGAGCGAGAGAGTAGAGAGAGAGAGTAGAGAGAGCGAGAGAGACCTGGATGCCCACTGGAGTGTGTGTGTGTGGGAGTTTTTCCACAAACACACAGACTCACAGCGCTGACTGAGATGACACACACACAGTTATGCAAACACACACACACGAAAACACACACACACGCAAACACACACACACACATGAAAACACACACACACACAAAAACACACACACACACAAAAACACACACACACACGAAAACACACACACACACACACACACACACACACACACGAAAACACACACACACACGAAAACACACACGAAAACACATGAAAACACACACACATGCAAACACATACACACGGCTGTGGGTCACTGCAAAGCTAAACCAACAGTGTCTGGTCAACAAGAGCAGACCCAGAGAGAAGAGAGAGCCCTTATAC